GCATGGTGGAGAAGCGCTGCCCGCTGCAGAGGGACGGCGTGTACCGCTGGTTCTCGGAGCTGCCGTCGCCGCAGCGCGTGGAGTTCCTGTGCGGCCTGCTGGACCTGTGCATCCCGCTCGAGCTGCGCTTCCTCGGCTCGTGCCTCGAGGACCTGGCCCGCAAGGACTACCACTCGCTGCGCGACTCGGAGATCAAGGCCAACAACCCGGCTGACCTGGGCAGCCTCACCAACCTGACGGACGAGGTGGTGCGCAGCAAGCTGCTCGTGTCGCTGGCGCTGCTGGGCTCGGAGCAGCGCGAGGCGGCGGGCGTGCTCTACCGCACGCTCACGCACATCGACTCCATCATCCACAACTACGGGCTGCAGCTCAACGAGGGCCGCACGGGCGATGAGTTCCTGCTGCTCTTCACCATGGCCTCCAACCACCCGGCCTTCAGCTTCCACCAGAAGCAGGTGCTGCGCCAGGAGCTCACGCAGATCCAGAGCAGCCTGAGCGGCGGCGGCGGCGGCGGCGGAGGCCACGGCGGCAAGAGCGCGCTGCCCACCTGCCCGGCCTGCCACAAGGTGCGTCCCCCCGCACCCCCGAGCCCCTCGGGGGCGGTCGCAGAGGTTGCGGGGCGCCTGGGCCCTGGGGAGGCCTGCCCGGTCAGAGTTCGCGGCCCCTTTGTGCCTTTCTTTCTTTCTCGCCTGTGGCCGCAAGCGCGATAAGGCCTTTGTCCCCTTAATCGGGCCCTTGGGCGACGGATCAGTTACGCTTGGTGTCGTCCGGATTTCTCCAAATCTGGTGTTTCTTAGCAGGAAGGGAAGCCGTTGGCGAGGTGGAGATGGGAACCTTAGCGGACGGCGCGGGAGCTGTGCGGCGCCCCCCACGGCCTGCGTGTTCCCTTGGTGGGGCGGGTGTCGCCGCGGGGCAGGTGCGGAGCCCGGCTCCCGTGACAGGCACAGAAATACGTCTGCAGCCTTGGACGCATGCGGGACGCCTGCCTTTGTGGGAGCAGATCGTGGCTCTGCCGGGAAGCCCAGGGTGTTGGTCTCCAAACTAAACAGGAAGGGCATTGTGGTCATCCACTTGGAAATGTGAACTTTTGTCTAAATGTTTCAAAACTATGTAAACACCAAATGTTCGGGGCTCAAACTCATTTTTCACAGCCCCATGGGACCCAGTGCCAAAATGGTGCTCCAAGAAAAAGGGTTTTTCTTTGACCCAGTGTGGCGTGTGTTCAGATGACACTGGGACCCTTGGGGAAGAGACTGCAGTCAGGACCAGTAGTGCTGCGTGCCTTTTTCCGTGGCTGAGCTGTTTTCAGGGAACACTTGGGTCCTCTCTGGTTTGCTGCTGGTGGCTTTCAAGCTCTCAACTCTGGGTTGTGGCTTTTCTTCTTTAATGTTTTTCTCTGAGCTGTGGTTGTGGTACCTCCATTGGTTTTAATCTGTGTCTTATCTTTTTTTGGTGATGTGGAGCTCTGAGACTGTGGTTTTCTTTTTAAACGTGTGTTCAGCTGCCACTGTGAATCTCATGTTGTGCACTGGGCAGAAAAATGGTATTTCAGCTATAACAAAGGGAAAGCAGTGTCCTAGGCAATGTGGTTGTGTGTGGGGGGCTCAGTCGGCTTTGGGGTGCCAGAGCCCCATCAGCTGTTCATGGGATCTCAGTCCCTGATGATTAGTTTCATGTGCTGCTAGCCTTCTGTTTCGATGCCGTGCACTAATGTCTGGGGTTCTTTCTCCACTCCTGTTCAGCTCTCGAAGGTAATTCTTTTGTGTATACGGATTCATCCTTTTGTAAAAGGGGAAGATGGCGATTATTATTTTGGTGGGACAGGAGCTGGCTCTAGAACGAAAATATGCTTTAGAAGAGAGCCTTTCTTTCTGTCAAGTGAGAAATCCCTCTGGTGACGCAAAGGACCAGTCTCCCCCCCACCCCTGCCCACACACTCGGAACTGGCCAGCTGTGTGACCTTGGCCAGAACCCCGCCTCCTCTTGGTGTTTCCTGTGAAGTAGGTGGCAGGTTACCTGCCTCCTGGGCTTGTTGGAGGGCTACATGAGGTCACGCGTGACGTACCCAGCAGATGTGCAGGGACTGCTCCCTTCTCTGCCAGGTCCATCCTCTCTGGGTTTTTATGGAGGAGTGCTGACTTCGGCAGGGCACATTGTTACAGAGTGAAATATTTATGTCTCAGAGGGTTCCTGTTTTCTAAATTGATTTTTGAGTAGTTGCTTGGAGCTGACAATTTTTTCTGTTTATCCGTGGGAAATTGGAGAATTCTGCCTGACCCTTAATAATGACGTTATGGTGAGTAACCTTAGAGCTATTGCTTCCATATTTCAGAGCAACCATGGGGTCTAGTTTTCCCCACATTCCCTCTGTCACTGCTAAACTAATTTCAGTCTCATTCGTGTAACTTTCTGTTACTGTTAAGGTCTGATGCACCCTTTGCTGCTTTTGGAGGCGGTCCCTCCGGTGAAATCTAAGTAGTCTGAGTGTTTTCCCGTTTTAGTGTCTCTGGATCTAATGTTTACTGTCATCCTGGGAAAACAGCCCCATTAAAGCTCTGCTTGCATTTCTTTTGTAAGCTGTTTTTATTCTCTTTTGAACTCTTTGAGCTTAGAGGCTTTGTGTTTATCCTTTAGGGATGAAGACGAGGGTTTGATTTTTTTCTTTTCTTTGTTTAAAGTGATAGTTCTTATAACGATGTTTTCTGATACAGTCATGATTTGCAATTGCATCTTCAAACCCCCACTATGTTATTTGATAATCCTTCCCGCTCAGAGGACAAGCAGAAGGCATTTAAGAGTGTGAATGACGTAAAATAGAAATTTTCACGTCCGAGAAGGAAAGCAGTCGGCACGGCAAAGCTGATGGTAGATTGCGGTAGCGTTGCCGCGCTCAGGAGCCGACAGGTGCCGTAGGTACGCTGCTCCTCAGGGTTCCGTGTGAGCTAGTGATAAAAGTTGCCTGGGACTCTTCAACTCTCTTCCTAGTTAAGTAAAAAGCTGTAGTTTTGGAAAAAGTTTAACTTTATCCTTTGCGGTCTTTTTTTAATGTAAATGATAATGTGTTATAGGTATATGCTTTTTTAAAGTTTTTGAGATTTAATTTTTTTTTTTTAAAGATTTTATTTATTTATTTGACAGAGAGAGACATAGTGAGAGCAGGAACAGAAGCAGGGGGAGTGGGAGAGGGAGAAGCAGGGGGAGTGGGAGAGGGAGAAGCAGGCTTCCCGCTGAGCAGGGAGCGCGATGCGGGGCTCGATCCCAGGACCCTGGGATCATGACCTGAGCCGAAGGCAGCCGCTTAACAACTGAGCCACCCAGGCGCCCGAGATTTAATTTTTAAAAACTGTAAAATTCACCCTTTCAAAGCGTACACTTAAGTAGTTTTTAACATACTGATGGAGTTGTGTAACCATTACCACTGTCTCCTTCCAGAACATTTTCATCACCCCCCCAAAGAAACCCCATGCCTGTTTGCGGTCCCTCCCCATTCCCTCTTCCCAGCCCCTGACAGCCAGTCGTCTGTGTTGTGCATTTGCTTGTCCTGGACATTTCATGGAAGCGGAATCGTACAGTGTGTGGCCTTCCGTGTCTGGCCTCCCTCACTCAGCGTCATGTTCTCACAGTTTATTCCTGTGGTAGTATGTGTCAGTGCTTTTCTGCTTTTTTAGGGTTGAATGATATTCACTGTGTGGATAGACCCTGTTTTGTTTATCTGCTCGTCTGTGGATGAACACTTGGGTTGTTGCATGTGCTTATTTTTAGACATTTTTTTTCTTGTGGTTAACAGGCTCTTGTTTTAATCCCTTACACTTAACACTTAACCAATCGTCTTTGGAGCAACGTCCACGTGTGGCTGTCTGAGGGACCTCCTGGTGGTGATGAGAGCCCGCCTGGGGGATGCGGGGTGCTGTGTGCGGGGCCGCTCTCCAGAGCCGTGGCTGAAGGTGGCAGAGAACGCGCTGCTCTGACAGTCGTGGCCAGGCGCTGTGGGCTCCGTGTCGTGGTTGGGAGCCGGGTGGCAATGTCAGCTCTGGCTGGGCAGGGTAGCAGGAAGCTGCCCCCACCCTGGCATTTCAGAATCCTCATGACGAGGATCACAACCGAACAACCTCATGAGGTTGACTTCTGTGGGTGCTGCTGAGCCTTTTTAAGGGGCTGGCCGCGGGAGCGCAGCGGCAGCGTCACCGTGAGCGCTCTAGGGTAAGCACCGTGGGGGCGAGGGGGGGGGCAGATTTTGTGAGTAAGCTGCTAAGAAGGGCTTGCCCAGGGCAGGCGACAGCTGGCTCTGTCGCGTTGCTTCCTGCGAGCTGCTGAAAATCATTGCGGTTCAAAGGTGGAAGCTTGGTAGTTTGTGCGCTGGTTGTCACGTGAGGGTTGAATGGCCCCTTCTGGTCTCTCCTTTCCCGGGAAACTCTGCCCGGTGCTGCTGAGAGTGATGCTGCTGAGAGGGATGCGGCACCACATGGGAAGGGACTTTGTCCGGGGCCGCTGTCCTTATCGCTAATGGTTGCGGGAGGAGCCGTGACCTCAAGGCACAGCGGTGGCTCCACCTTCACACTGGGGCTCCGGGCAGCTGAGGATGGCCCGGCCCATGGACTCAGGCCTGTGGTCTGAGCTCAGTCTGGCTGCCTTTGCCTCCACTGCTTTGTTCATGATGCTGCAGGAGCGAAATGTCTTAACGCATTCTGGATTCCTCGTTTTGGGCCAGCTTTTATAGGCCCACAGACTGCCCTCTTTTTATGGTGAGGTGCACGATCGTTGAGACTGGGTGCTGGGATGCAGGTTTGCTTGGTGGTGGTGGTGCAGCCCCTCGCTGCTGCCGGCGCCCGGCTGGAGAGTGAGCCGCCCGCCCGGGGCCTGCCCTTCGCCCTCGTGTGGGCTGCTGCATGTGAGCTGTGTCCGACCCCACTGACGCCCCAGCTCCAGCTCTCGGTGGTGTTCTGGAGCGCAGCTGTGGAAACCGCAGGTCTTCTGGAGCTTCTCCGGAGTGTGTGGCAGGGTTACTTAACACAGAATGTAATTACAGACAAACATCCGCGTTGGCCGTGTTTCTGCAGTGTTCGATGTTCACCAGGTAGCTTCACTTTACCCATTTTTCCCCTCAGCCCTGCACACTTCATTTACCTTCCTTTGGGACTGAGGACATTTGGGATTGATACATTTTTTTCCCCCCACAAATCAACATAGTCATCTTACGACCTCAGAGGCAAGCTAGCAAAAGGGACATTTTTGTTTGTTCAGTTGGTGGCTGCCCTCCCCGAGACTGCTAGTAACAAAAAATTTCTGTTATATTTAGGGAAAAATAGTTTCTATATAAGTGTGCTTTTTTTTTTTCTGCCTTAGGTAGGTTATATTTCAGAAAAAAAGATCCTTTGGTTGTTTCTTTCTTTTTAATTTTAATTTTAATTTTTTTGAGGAACCACCATATCGGACACCAGTTCTCTTTTGAGAACAGTTGCCACAAGCTCTCCAGTGAGTTTACAGATCACTGAGGGATTCTGATTTTGGACTCTAGCCCTGACGTGTGCAGTGCAGAGATGAGTGTCCGCGAGGTGGCTCCTCCCCAGGCTCCACAGAGGTTTTGTATGTGGAGAGACCTAACGTGTTATAGAGCTGCTTTCTGTCACGGTGAAAAGCCATAATCAAGAACTTCATAAAATAGGTTAATTCTTTTTCCTTTTTTTGTTAGTACAGCCAGAATTTATTCAGT